TCCACAAAGACTGAGCTTTTTAATATATGATTTACACATGGGTGCACTTATACATTAACCATGAGTTATAAAAATGCATGCCTCTGCCTCTATCTCCAAAATATCTTTGCCCAGCAATCAAAAGCAAACAAAGAAAGGAAATGTTTCCGGTAGACATTTCTTATACTCAGATGCCCAGGGACAATTGTGTATGTTGCTTTCAGCATATCCAGGCTTTTCTGGATGGAGCAGACACTACAGGCCAAGTACCTTAACAGCGAGTCTCAAATTTTTTCAACAATTTGCTCCCAGGAGCAAACAAACTTTCCTATCAGTGTGACAGAAGACATCAGTGTTAAGGAAATATTTGGGTGAAATGTTTCACCCATTTGGCTATATAAAAATAGCTACCCACAACTGCACATGTCAATTTATGCTTTGGGACACGTTTATCTGACACAGGTTAAGTCAGAGGAAGTCAGTGAGAGAAAGGATATAAATTTGAATGGCAAATATAGAGTGCACATCATCTTGTTGAGATTTTCTCATAAGAATAACAATTTTTAAGCATGATGGTTGCCCCCTTTACAGGAACAAAAAGACATACACTTTGCCAACTTTGCATGTTAATTTCACAAATTTTCTAAGGCATGAAGCAAAATCTACATTGGAGTGTTGAATTTAAGATGGTAAAAGAAGAAATCAACAGAGGAAGATTCTTATCATTCCTACTCCTTTTTGAAAGTTAGGTTTCTAGAACATTGTCCTCCCCAAACAACAAGCCAGTACAAAATATTTTAAAATATTATAACTTATCTAACAGGGAGATGCAAAAGGAGTCCAGCTGAGAATTCTGTGACCCAAAAGGTGGCAGAGAGTGACAGAAAAAATCATACAAGTGTATTAGTTATGAGTTAAGCCCCCTTAACTGATTTATTTTGCCACTTTTTTTGTTCAAGTAACCTATTTAAAAATGCATCCCTACACGAAGCACCCCATTATTAATAGTCAACGCACAGTTCAACCTGTCAAGTTTCCCAGTCTCACTTTTGCAGGGCTTTTTTTTTTTTAAGGAAAAAATTTAAAAAGCAAAGGCATTTCGTAGGGCGCCCGCTGCCAGACACCCAGCATTTATCTTATCTCACTTGATGACTTTCCTTTTATCCTGAAATGATTTGACAATGACTCTATGATTTCCTGTACAAATTACCCTTTGAAAGTGGCAGTGGCGCTTGGCAGCGATCTTCACTTAATTACTGAGTGGATTATTAGCATACGGCTCCCCCCCCTCTTCATTTCTTTATATCTTCTAGATTGCATTGACAGTTCCCTTTCATTGCCTGCTTTAACTCACTGAATACTAAACATTATGCAGATTGCAGCTGAGAAGTGCCCAGGCTACTCCAAAGCCCTAGTCTGTACCAAGACCTTTTTGATGGAAAGTAATTTACAGGTCAGAAATCAATAGTGAGTCTGGAAAGTGCATCTGTGGGTTCTCTGAATTTAGATTGGGGTTGAGGTAGATCAGAGCACTAATGTTCAAAAGTGAATATCCCTTCACAATTTTTCCATTTATAAAAAAAAAATCTACAATAAAACAATCAGTTTTGTTCCTTCCTTTAATAGCCTCCTTCCGTCTTTAAATAGTCTAAGATAGTGAGCTTCTATTTTCTTTTCAGCTCCTTATGCTGCCACCCAAGTTGATGGGAGGGGGTTAATGAGTCCCTGTTTTCAGAAATGGTCCCTCTTCAGTCCATCAAGCTAGGGGGCTGGTAAGCTGACCTCCTTGGTTTGTGCGAGTGTGATTGTTTGCTGGAGTTAAAAAAAAAAAAATGTGAGTGATAAATTGCAAGGATTTCTCCAGCATGCTCAGAGGAGCCTTCTTTCTCGTCTGTCTTGGCTCCCATCTTTTGGCAGAAATTTGCACATATGTCAGACATTCTCTCTCCAGATCTTTATGCTCTCCTCCCCCCAACTGCATGCAAAAGCATCCTCCACGTTTCCTAGGCTGTAGTAGGGACATGAACCCCCTTCCCATCTCAACCTTATGGTACGGTTTAGGGTTCCCCCCCCCCATTTCTCTTTGGGAAGAGAATACAACACATGAGTAATTTCAGGGCTTGGTAGAAGTGACACCAAAGCTATAGGAGTCAGCACGGTGGGGGAGAACAGCTGGGTGCTGACTATGTCATCTCCATTCCAGGACTATCAACCACCAGCTTTATTCTTCTAGTGTTACATCTGCTATGAAATTTGGGTCTTCCAGGTGGCAGCCCAACATGCTGTCCAGTGCGATCAGGCCATTTAAATGCTTTGAGCTAATGCTGCAGATCCATTTTCTAAACAAGTTAGCAGATACCATATGCAGCAATTAAAGTTTTATTGAGTGGTGCCTGCTTACCATACTGAATTTGGATTGGCTACCATCTGTCGGAAAGCCTGTGGTACCATCCCTATTGCTTGAGAGAGCATTTGTAAGGAGAGAAGATTTTTCTCAACTTCAGAAGCTACTCAGATTTTTTTTTTAACAAGCAAGCCTACAAAAGTAGAATTTGCTCAAATCAAAAGAACCAGACCACTAGAAGTTAGCACAAAACGTGTGCTATTAAACATAATGGCGAGGAACATGGAGTCTTGTAATGTCTGCCATGATCATTGTTGATATATAGTTCCCTCCACAATTCTCAGAGACACTTTCCACGGACAACACAATAAACCCAAATTAAAACTAAGCAAAAGTATAAGCACTGTTTCTGTCAAGATTATTATAGGGTCCTTCTTGTTTAATAATGATGATGATGTTGATGATAATAATAATAAGTTATCTAAAACGCTGCTAATTGAAGCTAGAGGATGATAAGCTACGTGATCAAGTTCAAAGAAAGCAATGATGACTAAATACTCAAGGTGGGATGTATACTAGTATGTTCTTAATACATGAGGGGTTCTCAGACATGATCACCTCTTTACCTTTGGCCTTTATGAAGGAACAAAGAGAAAGACATATTATATAAGTGGTTCTTAACTTTCTAATCCTATGACCCTTTAATACAGTTCCTCATGTTTTGGGGACCCCCAACCATAAAATTATTTTCATTGCTACTTCATAATTGTAATTTTACTACTCTTATGAATTGTAATGTTAGTAAGTATGGGTGTTTTCCGATGACTTTTAGGTGTCACAACCCACAGGTTGAGAAGCACTGAATTATAGTGAAACTCAAAGCCTTGTAAAAAAACGTTTTAGAAGTTCCTGGGCAATCATGTGGTTTTGTAGAAGTATAAGAGAAGAAAGAATCCATCATTAGTAGCATAAAAAATCTGCTGGTATTTTGAGCATCCCTTTCTTTAAGAGAAAAAGGCATGTGATCTTGCTCCTTTTAGTCCTAATTTAAGAATTTCAAGGCTGAATGTTTAACTTTTGAGAACATTCAGAATAAGACATCCACTCAGTTTTACTCTGTTGGCTCCCTTAGAATATTCAATGGCGCACATTGGGGTTTTCTTACTCTTTAGGTATTAGGGGGCAGTGTCAAATTCCTGTGAATAACGAGTCCATAAAATGTAAGACCAAGGTCAGAAAACCTGTCTCCTAGCCTCAGGACTATTCCTCAGTGGCTAGCAAAGACACTCATCTATGCAATTTCTTTTCTGACCTCCTTCCCTCGCCATGCAGGGGTTTATCTGGGTTCATCTTGCACAAGTCTTAGACATGCAATCACAGCTTGTATGGTTTCCTGTGAAACAGCCATGTCATACACAGGAAACACTGATAAGTTACTACCCCTGGCTTGTACATTCTGTCTTATTTACTTAAGCCTTGAGAGAAAAAAGCTGAATGGTCTTCTGTCCCTTACTCTCTGCGATTGACCAACTGTGGATCGCTATGTTAATTACCATATACTGCAAAAGAAGATTCACTGATAAAGTTGGGAGATTTACTTCTCTACATGTATAGCAATAAGCCATTAGGAGTTGATTTAATACTTATGTTTATTGAGAAGACTAGTAGTAGGGCCTGTGAGCTACTCAGCAATGGGATCTTGATCTCATCAGCAGTAAGAGGCATGAGTTTCATCTTATGAGAAAGTAGTTAGTTCATGTGATTGACTGAACCAGTGACCATATCTTGCCAGGTCAGTTGCTATTGTATGTCTCATGTTCCACAGTTGGAGAAGACTGTTGATAACTTCACACCCTTAGTAGTACACATAGCACCTTCTAGTACAATGACTAGCTTGTAGTAAGGAAGCTTCTAGATCAGTACCAGCCGGATTTCTCCATATTCTTTTTTTTTCTTTGTTTGAAAGTCTTTTAAAAATAAAAAATAAAAAAATAAAAAATAAATAAAAAATAAATAAATAAAAATAAAGAAAGAAAGAAAGAAAGTCTTTCATTTCTTCTGAGCTTTCTGAGAGGCAGCAAACAGATTTTCTCCCTGACTACATGAAAATGCACAAATGACCAACAATTCTGCACAGCACACATAGACAGGTACCTCTTGTGAGACTGAGGAGGAACAGGGAGGAGTGGGAGGAGAGGGATACACTGTCACTCCTACCTGGGTGACAGGCCAGACTTTAAAGCTGTTTGGATGACATGCAGGTTAGGTGTGGTGGTCCACTCTTATAATCCTAACATTTGGGAGACAGAGGCAGGCGGATCTCTGAGACCAGCCTGGCCTACAAAGTAAAGGGCAGCCTGGTCTACAGAGCAAGCTCCAGGCCACTACGGGCTACACAGTGAGACCCTGTCTCAGAAAGTTACTTTTCCCGATGATGATCCACAGATGGTGGGGACTGGTTTTATTTTTCACCATTAGAACTGGATTCGGTTGAAAGTCTGAGCGACACTTCTGAAGCTGATCGTCTGATGGCCTCTCAGGAAACAGGCCCAAGGCGGGGCGCTCCCAGAGGCCTGGGGTGTCCTCTGCTTCACTGTTCCTCATTTTGTTATTCGTTGTCTCATGATTGTAGAATAGCTGCTGCAGCTCCAGATGTCACATCTCCATCTGGATGGACTTACAGCTGCTCTGTGGTGTAATTTGGCAATAACAACCGGAAGAAGAGGGCAATTGTGTTTCCGTGGCTGACTGGACTCAGCCTCTCTGGTCTGACGTAGGGGTAGATGGTGTCCACAGGAGGCAGAGGGTCAAATCCCATCACATACTGTGTGGTCACATCCGAGGGTAGGGCAGCAACAGTCTCCTTGATCTCAGACAGTATCACATGGCGGTGGATGTTTCTGGGTGCACGTTGGTACAACACTTTCCGCCTGTTCTCACAGGCCTCCACAGCAGGGTCTCCAGCATCCACTGCCTGCAGAACCTCATGGACAGTTTCTTCTAGCCAGCTCATAACGGTAGGTTCTTTCCAAAGGAAGTGTGACCTCCCCAGGTACAGACTCAACAGCTGGCTCAGGGCGGGAGGCTGACTTATCTCACCATCCGGCCCAAAGAAGCAGTGGTTTGAGACCGTGGCATCAGGCCACACATTGCAATACTCCAGCAATGGCAGAAGGATTCCAGGGAACATGTTGAGCGCCTGCTGCATCAGGAGGGAAGCCTGCTGCCTGGCAGAGCTGACCTCATGCTCAGGTAAGTCTGTTTGCTGACTCAGAAGGAAATAGGCCAATGGAACAGAGAAGGCAAAATTTGGGAACTGGGACAGGCTCCAATGACCCTCCCATTCCTGGAAGAGGCGGATCAGGTACTCATAGTTCCGGGCCCGTATGGCCAGGTGGTCGATAAGCAGCAGCATGCACAGGGGGTCCTCATCCGGCTCGAGGCTCAGAATGAGCTTGCAGTACTCCAGGGCCGTGCGTGGGCAGACACGCTTCTCCAAGAAACTCATCTGCTTATAGAGGGCCAGGTAGAAGCTGCTGTTCTTAGGTCTGCGGTAATCCAGCCTGCAAGTCCCAATGGTGAGACTGAACAAGGGGTGGAATGCACACTCCATGCTGTACAGGGCTCTCTCTATAAGGTCTCGAGCCATCTCTTGATCCTCCTGAAAGCGGCAGGCATCACTGAGCTGCAGAAGTGAGTCCACACGATGGGGGCTTGTCTGGAGCAGAACCACAATGTTGTTTGGCTCCATGGACTCCACGGCCACCAGGAACTTGTGCTGTGCTTGTTGGTACTCTTCATTATGCTCAAATGCGAAGAAGGAAAGGCCTTTCTTGGACTCCAGCAGCCGCAATGATAGGCCTGGTTTGCTATATCGGGGCCATGTGCTCTTAGGGATTGTCAGCCATGTACACTTGGGATACACACGCTGTCTCTGTTGAGGTCTTTGCTCTCCCAGGACCGCTCAAGCACCAAAATACCTCTTCAGTTCTGTGTCTGGATTCAAGTGTCTGTGCTCCACATACAGCACGTGCTTCCTGGAGCTCAGTGGAGGGGGCCCGGGGTGGCTGAACCCGCTGCTGTCTTCAATCCTCTCTAGGATGCGATCATGTCTTCTAGTCCATTTTCTGAAGATTTTCCTGTGCAGCTTGTCTTATTTTTCTGCTTCTTTTTCTTCTTTCGGAGTTTGCCACTTGCATTAGACTGTTCTGGGGACCCTGCTTTGGTTGCATCTCCATCTTGCTTGATCTCTGGGTTCCCATGTTTAGCCTTTCCTTTGTTCCCTGAAGACATGGAATCTGGTAGGGTACAGTCAGACCTCTCTCCATTTACCACAAGATCCTCCTCAAGATCCTCGATGTTTATCAGCTCGAATCACAGACTCCTTTCTTCCCTGCACACCCAGGGCGCCGGCCACCCAGCCCGGGTTTTGGTGCCTCTTCCTCTGCATCATTGTCATCAGGGAGGACAAACTGCAAGGCGTCGGGCCCCAGGGGTTCCTGGCCGAGCTGTTCCCCCCTCAGCCTCCGGAGGGCCCGCGAGACATAGGATCCGACGGCCTGATGTGGGCAGAGGGACGAGGGAGAGCAGCAGACTGGCGGAGCCTGCGCACTGGCTGTGCGCTGGAGCAAGGTTGGCCTGTCGCCTTTGCGTGCAGTGGCTCTCCAGAACTTCCTCCTGATTCCCCGGTGGAGTCAGGGAAGGTGCGAGGGTGGCCCAGGGAATTCTCGCGAGAGTCGGGCCCCAGCGGTGGTGGTAATGCGGCACTTGAGTTTTGGATTTCTCCATATTCTATGACTCAAGTATGAGTGCACATTAAACTTTAAGATTTCTTTCTTCGTAGACTAATTTTGATTCTTGGAAAGTTCTGCAATTTCATAAAGTCTAAAAATGTGATACTTTAAACGCTACTGATATAGCTCCATATTCTTAAAAATAAAAGAAAGTTAACGTCAAAGTGGGATCCATGTAAATTGTGAACTACGTAAGATTCATTTACACAATAGAATACTACTTACCTATTAAAAACAAGGGCATCATGAAACTTGTAGACAAATGGATGGAATTAGGAAGCATAATTCTGCGTGAGGTAACACAGACCCAGAAGGACGTGAACAGTGCATACTCAGAGATGAGTGGATATTAGCCATGAAGTACAGGATAACCATGCTATAATCCATAGACCCAAAGAAGCTAAATAATGAGAGCCCAAGGGAGGTAGCTTGAATTTCACTCAGAAGAGGAAATAAAACAGTCATCAGAGGTGTGTGGAGGGAAGGAACTTAGTGGGAGAGGGGATGGGGAGGGAAATGGAAAGTGAGAATCAGGTATGGGGAAAGCCTAGGAGAGAAGACCTGGAGAGTGAACTGAAAATCAGATATCCAAGGGTGAGGGTGTGTCTAAGACATGACAGAAACCTTCTATTGCAAGAGTCTCCAGGGAGCCTACGAGACTTACTCTAGCTGAGATTCCTAGTAGTGGAAGACATGGAGCCTGGAGTGGCCACTTCCTGTAGCCAGGCAGGACACCCAGTGGAGAGATAAGGACGCCAATGAAATCTTTGACCCCAAATTTGTTCTGCCTATAAGAAGTACAACGACAAAGATTGAGCAAAGACTGAGGAAATGACCAACCAATGACTAGCGTAACTGAGACCCATCTCATGGGCAAAAGCCAATCCTAACACTATAATTTTCTGTTGTGCTTGCAGGACAGGAGACTGGCATAACTGGCCTCTGAAAGGCTCCACTCAGCAGCTGACAAAAGCAGAAGCAGAGAGCCACAGCCAAACATTATAAGTAGCTCAAGAAATCTTGTAGAAGAGTTGGGGAGAAGGACTGAGGGACCAGGAGGGATTAGGAACTCCATGAGAGGACCAACAGAGTCAACTAAATTGGATGCTTGTGGCCTCCCAGAGATTAGGGCGACAACCAAGGAGCATGCATGGGCTGTACTTGGGCCCCCTGCCATATGTGTAGTAGATATGCAGCTTGGTCTTCATGTGAGTCCCCCAACAACAGGGGATTTCCATCTTTAAGAGAACAAGAGAGGGTAGAATGATTGGCTGGTATGGGCAAAGCCCTAGGTTTAGTCTCCAAAATGAGACAGAGAGAAGGGAAATGGGAAGAGAAGGGATAGCAACATTGGATGCTACATTGGACACATTTGGAAATAGCTTTCAACATTGTAGGTTACATCATTAACACATTCCGGTTTTTTTCTGTAATAAAACTGACAAATTTCTCACCAATGTCATTGGAATTATAGACACATTAGTCCCAGGAAGTTCTTTCCAAAGAATCAAAATGCCTGATGAAGAACCTTTGGCTTAATTAAAGAATTTTCTTTTTCCTGACTGAAAGGTCAGTAGAATCAGCTAGGAATGGTACTTTTAATTATTTATTGATGCCAAGATGTACTTCCTTAGTGCATAGTCATTCTCTAATTTCCTACACTGCAGACACCTGTGGTCATGTTCTTTACCCTGCGGCACTAGGAGAGAGTCCAGTGCTGTTTTCCTTTTCCACAGTAATTTTCATTTCTCAGAATATTTTTTCTCACTTCCTCTGTTCCAAGTTCTCACCACCGAGGCACTTGTGTGCAAGTGGCCTAAGAGCATGCTTATATACAAATAACAGATTACACATTTTGTACAAGCTGTACCATCAAGGTCAAACCAGTGACTAGCATTAGTTGCAGAGTTTGCTGCAGACCCTTCTCATGGTAGCCTCATCTTTCTGAGATTGACCATTACATGGATAGATAAGTCTACAGAATGATTAACAAGTCACATACCTCCTCCCATACACCGTTCATATACAGCAACAAACTGGTCATTTGGTTCACATCCTAGTTTTTCCATAGCTTGAGTTCTTTATTTTGGCTCTTTCTCTGTTTGCTAAGATCTCAGGAGTTAGAAAGGGCATCAATAATGGAGTGCAGCTACTCAAGCAATCTTCCAAGGCTGAAAACAATCTGAGGATAATACACACCTCTTGTTTTATTCTGTCAGCTGAGGCCACTGAGTGCTGTGTGCTTTGTCAACAGGGCTCTCCAGGGAAAGGACACAGAAAAGATATATTTAGCATTTACCATCTATGTCCATATATGTGCTTCTGAAAATTCGCTATGATAATACACATTCTCCTGAAACTTGTGCTTAAAAAATCACAGTATCTTTGAAAAACATTGTATGACTCAATAACAAAAAAGGAACATCCTCTGACTCTTTGGAAGGTCAGCTCCTTCTAGGTAACCACTGTAATGCAAAAAGAGAGACTGGCCCAATTTCCAGAGCCCTCCACATTCCAGATAGGAAGAAGGAGGATGTCTTCATGTTCCTTGTAGCGGAATCCTCTGGGGATGACACTGTCTTCTATGTGGAAATGTGCATCCACAAAAGGAAAAGTGATAATTTTGTATCCCAGATCAGAAGAGGACGTGAGGGAAGCTTCTGCAGGCAGGCAGCAGTTGTTGATAGGCTTGCTGCTCACCAGAGCCCTTCCAAGTACTTCCTGTTTCACTCCCATGACCTTAGGTACCCCAAGGGAGTGAGCCCTGAAGCTCCATCCTCTGGTAGTAACTAACACAGTGCTTCTCACAAAACCATCAACCTGCCTTACCTTCATCACTCAGCACCACACAGATTCTTCTCTGTGTTGTGTGGCCATTGCCATGTTACACTGAAAAGAAGTCCACTAGATAGGACTGACATGGTATGTATTAGCCTGTGAAGTTCTGCACATATGCTGTTTACTCCCTGTCAACACCCATGGGATGCTCTTGTCTGGCCTCTACTATAGAGACCCTAAGAATATTGAGAAGGAAGTACAAATGGCTGTTGCAAAGGCTACAAAAAAGGAGACATTTCAGGAAAAAAAGACTGCACCAGAGCCTGAGTTTACTTCTGTCTTCATGGGCTAGCAGACTGGTCTAACTGTATGCAAGAACCTACTAAAGACTACAGTGCTCAGCTGGCCACAGAAGATCACCAATAGCTCCTAATGTGCAAGCCACGAATGGAATAAGTACATAGGTGGCTTAACCTTTTGTTCCATGGACACTTAAACAAAACAGAAGGAACATAAAGGAAGAATACCATTTATCTAAATAACAGTTATCTAAACACTAAAAAACAAAACAAAGTAAACAAACAAACAAAAACTATTTTAGAATGGTCTCACCAAAGTACAACAGCTTACATTCCAAACTCAAGCATTTAGAGACTCCAGACATTTTTTTTTCAATGAGCACAGGACACCAGTCTACAGCCAGCAATACATTCACCCCTTGGCATCTGCAACCGGGCTTGGTCACTGGGTACAAATAGCTCTGTTTAGATGTGTTGTCAGTATGAATTCTGCCCTGGTCCTGACTCTTTTGCTTTCTTTGCTGTAGTTTTAGTTCACTTTTTATGGAATTTCATAATGTTCTAACAATTGGTACTAAACAATTATTCTAGAAATAGCAAAACAACTCATGATCAAAATCCTTAAACGTGCTCACTGACTAAACTCCCACCATCAGTGCCACCAGGCCTGGCTGGCATTAGCAGTTGTATAGGCTCTGTCAGTCTTCCTTTTCCAGCTAGGGTTGCAGTTTCTTCCTATGTATAACTCTTTCCATCACTCTGACTAACTCCCAGTAAGTTATGATAAAATAAACATTAGTGGAAGCTGAGTCTGGCATACATTACTAGCTCACTAAGAGCCACCAGCAAGATTCGGAAGAACAGTGCCTATGTCTACATCTCTGTGAGGAAGATACACAGAGGGTACTAAGCAGTGTACACTCTGCTGTCATCCTCTCCAGATGGAGTCAGGTAACAAACTGTCCTGTCTTTCTGTCAAATGACCTCAGTCCTTCCAAATGAATATCTAGGAGATGGGCGAAAAGTACACTTGGTTTCTTATTTATCTGTCATTCCCTTCAGTTGACCTGGATTCTTTTACTATTCCATCTAAAAATCCCCTACATTTCTTTACATAGGTCACCTTTATGAATTCAGATCATATTTGATCATAGAAAATGTTAAAAAAAAAGATACAAAAACCTTTCCCGAGAACACGTAATTCTCTGGCCTGGGTAAGGCAAAATTCACCTGTAGAACTGCCAAAGTATTCTGCACTTCAACTCCACCCTGTGTGTCATTTTCTCTCCCTTGATTTATTCTTCCTAGACATCATTTGAAGATGTTGGAAAGAGTCCAGCCTAACCTTTCCCCACTATTTTCTACGACCAGTGAAGGACGATGAGGTCCTTGTGGTAATAAATGCTCGTATAATGGAACCTGCAGGAGTCCTCTCTCTGTCTGTCTACTCAGTCTTACTGTTATCATGGAAAGACAGTCTTCATTCACTTTTCCAAAACAGAGATGGTTTATGCCTTCATGAATTTTATTCTGGTTCTGTTATCTCTGCTTCCAAGACACTTCCACACAGCTGCTGTTAGCCCCACATATGATACAGAGGGTAAAAACTCACCTACTTCCCTGATTTGATCTTCCTAGAACTTGAATATCTTACCTTAAATACCCACTGTCTATTTGTCTTTATTGCTATCATACTTATGACTAACATCCATTATTGTCTGGAAGGTAACACCTCAGAAATATTTCTCACAGTCACCCTGCAGCCAGCCTCATCTTGGACAACCCATGTGTCTTAGTTAGGATTTTACAGCTGTGAAGAGACACCATGACCAAGGCAACTCTTATAAAAGACTACATTTAATTGGGGCTGGCTTACAGGTTCAGAGGTTCAGTCCATTATCATCAAGGTGGAAGGAAGCATGGCAGCATTCAGGCAGACATGGAGCTGAAGGAACTGAGAGTTCCACCTCTTGTGCTGAAAGCTGCTAGGACAAGAGTCTTAGAGCCAATTCCCACAGTGACACACTTTCTCTAACAAGGCCACACCCACAAATAGTGCCACTCCCTGGGCATATTCAAACTGCCACACCATGTGTCCTAGGAACTCAGGACAGCTGCCCCAATGTCCAATCTCCAGATTCTTTCCTCTTTAAGAGGCTTCCTACTTACCTTCCTGAGATTTGTCAGTCATCATTCTAGGTCAGGCTAAAATGTCCCTGCTTTCATATCATTTACTATAATATATTTATTTCCCTTCTTTATGTAGCCTTTTTCTCCTTGTACTGTATAGCTCTATGTGTCCATTTGTAAGGTTATGTGTCCATTTATAAGGTCCATTTGAAGTTATACAAAAATAAGGTTGCCAGGCCTTCTTAAGCAGTGGCAATTTTAATCAAAGTACACACACGGTTAGAGGCTTGGCAATGAGACGGGTATTATGTGGCCAGTATTTAAGACCCACAGCACATTGAGCTGTCTATTTTGATTGGAATTAAGTTTTCTGCAGACAGTTATCTGCTCGGGTGCCAAGGTGTTCTTTCTGGGTAAGTGGAGCTATTTAATAGTGAGTCAGAGAAATTTCGGTTTTCTCTGGCAGAGGTAAAATTACAAAGCATCATTTGCTCTTGAAGAACCCACAAATCACAAATTTCCATAGAAAAGTTTAGATTTCTTTGTATTTGAGTTTAGGTTTCTGCTTCATTGGCTCAGACAGTAGAAACCAGTTAATGATGCTAGCACTAATTAGCACACTGAAGCAATACAGCATTCTATATGTGCCAGATACTGGATGGGATCTATAATTGCCGTAGGAATGCTGTCCAGGTATGCATTCTTTACTTTAATCTTAAGATTACAGAACTAAGACTAAATTTGTCTTCTGAGCAAATAACCAACAGTGAATTACAGATGTGACTAACTCCAAAGCCATGTCCAAGCACACCTCTGAGCCAGTTGTCTGAACCAACAACTGCCAGCAGAAACGTACTGGTCCATGGACGTAAATATCTGCAAACACCTTTGTCTTCATAGCAGAGACCATGAAAGACATGAGGAGAAGTCAGTGTAATTGTGTTACACTACTTAACAATGTTAAATCAGGTACATACCAGACTGTAGTGTGTGTGTGGTGGGGTTGGAAGGTGGAGAGCTATTGGGAGCAATCTCAATATGTAACCATCTCCTTTTTTATATCACCTCAGACAATGAGAATTTATAGCCACCTTATCATTTTGGTGTATATTAGTTGGATAGGGAACAATTCCAAACTATAATCTGCAATTTTAATGGGGAGCATGAAGAGTATTTCATGTCTCATCATTTTATTATGGATGATTTCAAATATGCCCAGCAATAGGAGGAGAGTAACCACCCATGCTTCCAACCTCCTGCTTGAGTAGCAGCATCTGCCTCCCGGATCAGTCCCATGCGCCTTCCTTCAGCAAGTATCAGGTGTATCATTTCAAAATCATTATGAATTCTCCTCAAAGTCCATTTTGTACTCCTAAGACGTAAGAGAACGTCATGATAAACATTAGGTATTCAAATAGTATTGAAATATATTCAATTTCCCTTCAGAAATATGTGTGTGGGTTTGGGGGCGTTATTTTGTGTTTTTGTTTGTTTGTTAGGGGGTGTTTGTGTTTATATTTTTTTCCTGGAGTTTGAAGAAGAACCATAATGTGGGTTCCTTTCTTCTAATTGATTCTTTCTTTCTTTCTTTCTTTCTTTCTTTCTTTCTTTCTTTCTTTCCTTCCTTCCTTCCTTCCTTCCTTCCTTCCTTCCTTCCTTCCTTCCTTCCTTTCTTTCTTTCTTTCTTTCTTTCTTTCTTTCTTTCTTTCTTTCTTTCTTTCTTTCTTTCTTTCTTTTTCATTCTCTTACCTCTGCTTGAAAGTTAATTTTTAAGACCTTTAGTCTTTTACCTGTTGTGGTGCTTTGTTATGCTCAGCTCAGGGAGTGGCACTATTAGAAGGTGTGATCCTGTGGGTGTGGGCTTAAAGACCCTCATCCTAGCTGCCTAGAAACCAGTACTCTGCTAGCAGCCTATAAGCCAGCCCCAATTAAATGTTGTCCTTATAAGAGTTTCCTTAGTCATGGTGTCTCTTCACAGCAATAAAACCCTAACTAAGACACCCTGTAAATCACTTCTCATTCTAGAATTTTCTGACTGTGACCTCAAAGAAACACTTGAAATATTCCTCTTCTTTACATTTCCTGTAAACTAGTAAGTAGAGACTCAGCCCAACTGTTAAACGTTTTGCTTCATTTTTCCTCTACCCATTGTGAACTGTGCAGGGCTCCTGAGCCCTGTCTCACAGCCCTAGTCATCTCTGACAGCTGCTTTATTCTGTGGTACAAGACACTTCAGATTCATCTCACAGCTGTCAGTCTGCAGAGTCGGATGTTTGCTCCAGAAGGCTATTTTGACATGTGACGTCATGTTTATAGGCCATATTCTAAGGGCAAGAAATGCTAATTGTTACTAGGATAGTTGGACACTGCTCCTAAGGAGTTTTCTGGCAGAGAAATCTTAAACAAATATCTTGGTTAAAAATATTAATTTCTCAGTTGACTTATCTGTCATATATAACATATGCATGATATTGTATTTAATATTTTCAGAACAATAATTGCAATATTAGCATGTATTTTATTACTAAAAAAAATTTACATTTTCCCCTTACCTTGGCCTACATCCTAATGAAAACCAGGACATTTAGGCAATTTGCTGAGTTTTATAGTCACTTGAAACTATTTTTTAGTTCTTGACTAAACGATCACCTCTGCATACAGTTTATTAATTTAAAAAATATATTTCATTTTTAAATCTTTTCTGAAACTGAGAGGGCAGGCTGTTACTGGGTAGTCTAGGCTCTAGAGATACAAGTTAAAGTCATTTGATATTTTGTTCATTTAGCAAGCTAATAGTAGGGGGTTCACATTTGGGGCCTGTGAACTTTGGACCATGGGTTGTTGGCCCAATTTACAGCACCAGGAATGTGTAACCGCCTAATAGAGTGAGCTGTAAGTTGATTACCTTCATAGCACATGTTTTGCCATTATTGTACTTATGTCTTGACATGATGGTCATTATTGTTGTCCACAAAGTTCCCATCAGAGTAAGACTGTTGATATCTTTCCCCCCTAACATCCAACACCATACCTTGTGGTACTATGAAAACAAGCGGCAGAGAGAAAACAATCTGGTCAGTAGCAAATAGTTTTCTCTATAATCTATGGACAAACTGTGGTGCTTTCAGGAATAGGGTATAACCAAGATGATCTGTTAGGTGACCACAAACAATAATAAGGGCTTGTATCATTTATGGTGTCTCCAGGATATCCTTGACCAACAACTCTAGAGGAGCTATCTCACACTTGAAACTGGGTTTTAATTAAGACCCCATGGCTTTTAGAAGGAACATTTTTTCCCTGGGTAGAGTAACTGCAATTAAACACACACACACACACACACACAAACACACACACACAAATGTACATATAAAAGCAATTGAACTTATAAAATAGCAGTTTTCATATGGCTTTTGTTAAGTAGGGAGAAGAATTAAAGGATAAAGCAGAAGAGGGACTAGAGGAAAGTCTTTGTTTTTAATAGTCAGATAGATTCCATTATATAAATCTGCTATTATATATGTACTATATATCTACTATTATATATATACCATTTATATATTCCACTATATAAATACATACATATATATATATGTGTGTGTGTGTGTGTGTGTGTCCCAATTATAAATACATGCAAGTTATTTCAATTACTATTTCCAGATAGTGATATAGTTAACAGTTTTACATGTACATTTCTTTTGTGTTTCTTACTGTGTTTGAAATATATTTACAGAAGTAAGCTATCTTAGTCACAGGATGAATATAAATACAGTTTGCTAGGTGTCATCAAAATTCCATCAAAATCAATCTACTTGGAGTTCTACAGGCTTCTTTTATGATTATGGTCATCTCTTTCCTTAGGTTAGGGAAGTTTTCTTCTATTATTTTCTTGAAGATATTTACTGGCCCTTTAAGTTGGGAATCTTTGCTCTCTTCTATTCCTATTATCCTTAGGTTTGGTCTTCTCATTATGTCCTGGATTTCCTGAATCCAGGAAAGCAAGAGCTTCCCAGGAACCAACTGGAATGACATTAGCTGAAATGCCCAACAAAGGGGAGAGAGAACCCCTAGAGAACATATCCATCTCAAAAATTTTAACCCAGAATTGTTCCTGTCTAAAGGAAATACAATGACGAAGAGTGGAGCAGACACTGAAGGAAAGGCTATCCAGAGACTGCCCCACCTGGGGATGCATCCCATACACAGCCACCAAACCCAGACACTATTGTGGATGCCAAGAAGTGCTTGTTGACAGGAGCCTGGTATGAATCTCTTCTGAGAGGCTCAGCTAGAGCCTTACAGATACTGATGGGGATGCTTGAAGCCAACCATTGGACTGAGCACGGGAAACCCAACAGAGGAGTTAGGGGAAGGACTGAAGGAGTTGAAGGGGTTTGCAACCCCATAGGAAGATCAACAATATCAACCAGCCAGATCCCCTAGAGATACCAGGGATGAAACCTCCAAGGAGTACACATGGAGGGACCCATGGGTCCAGCTGGCTATGCAGCAGAGGATGGCCTTGTCTGACATCAAAGGGAGGGGAGGCACTTGGTCCTATGAAGGCTTGATGCCCCAGCGTAGGGGAATGCTAGGTTGGTAGGGCAGGAGTGAGCAGATGGGTGCGAGAGCACCTTCATGGAGGCAGAGGGAACAGGGGTGGGATGAGGGGGTTTTGGAGAGAAAACTGGGAAGCAGATAACATTTGAAATGTAAATAAACAAAATAACCAATTAAAAATTTTCAAACATTCCATCAAAACCACTACAGCATGCATTTCTCAACTCGGTATTGTTACAGGTTATGCTATCAGTTGGGAATTGTTTTGCCAGTTGGCAAGTTTGCATTGGTGGGGCAGTGACGTTCCATGTCTCATGATGAATATGTTGAAGACCTTTTCATATGCCTAATGATCATTCGTACTTCTGTGAACCAGTTCTTTCTAAATGGCCTATTTCTCTTTTACGTATTATCCTTCTGACAATGAAACAAGTCTCAAATTCTTCTTCCAACTTGCTCTTTGTCTCAGCAGATGATCCTGTGTTACCACATCTTTCATCTTTCTTATTATGTTTGGATTCAGGACTGTAGACAGGAAAGTCCACCTTAACCTCAGACCACAGAAAAGCCTTCATGTTTCCTTTAATATCTATAGGAATTAATATTTATGTGTATATCTTGTAAGAAATATAGTATTTAGCATAATACATGACATAAGATGTAGATCCAATCTTATTTTCTAATATGATCACTTAGCCATTTGATATTAAGAAATTTCATCTTTTCCTGACTTGTCAGATATAGTGCTTTCTTAGTATATTAACTTTCCTCTATGTAATTTTAGGACTATTTCTGAATTTTAAAACATATTATTTTAATTTATCCACATCTATGGAAGAGATGACACATATTGCTTTAATTATAGAGGCTCTAAAATATATTTTAATATGTTAGGATTGGCTCTCCCTCACACACCAGCTCTTTGTTTTTTAAGATTCTCCTGAATGTTCTTGCCTTTTATGCTCTACCAAATACATCTCATAATGAATTTGTCTGGGTTCATAACAGAATATAGCAGCATTTTCACATGATTTCACTGAACTAATAAATTAACTTGGAGAAAACTGATGGTTTTATTGATGATATGTCATGAAATCAAAAACCATGAATATGCTTTGCTAATGATTTCAAATCTACTTTTGTAGATAGTATTTTAATATATTTCTTCACATTTGTCTTAGACATGGCTTAGTATTTATTCTGTTCTATCTCTCTATTGCATGAAAAAAAGGATGAAAGAAGACAGAGAAAAGGAGAGAAAAAGAGAAGAAGAGAGTGGAGGGAAAGAGAATGTGTGTGTTAAGAAATTGAATCTCATTTTTTTGATTTTGCTCCATCCCACCTTAGCAAGAGTATCGAAGACCACTCAAGCAGTAATGTAACCAGCCCCAACAGCTGACTTAGCAGAAAGTAATCTGCCCGGCTTGACTGTGATGGAGTTGTTAAAGTACAGTACTTTCTCTAGTTCCTCCATGATGAGGTGTCAAGATCCATGTTTGTTATAGAATGAGATATTATAGATTGCAGGTAACTTATTTTCACCTTCCCTATGTCTCCACTTTCACAACTTGTCATTCCTTATATTTTCAAAATCATAGATTCTTTTAATTATTGGTTTCTTTTAAAATTAAAAAAAGACTTGAAATTTCAATAGCCTCAAGACAGCACATATTTGCAACTCTGGCCAAATTAACAATGGCTTTATTGTTATTTTACCGAATAAATTAAGTTTTCATTTGAAAAACTTGGTAATTTCCTCTTGATGACTGTTTTTTTCTAGATTACATTGTCATATCTCTCCTCTGAATTTTAGTGGCTGAAAATGACTTGAAGAGGGGTTTCCTGGAATCAATCCAGTAAAAACAAACTAGAGAGCTATAGTTCCTTATGTAAAATGGGCTATTGAAGTTTAATTATCCATTGGCTGATCCTCCAGGCTCCAAACTCATTCATCAGTTCCCAGACATGTACTACAGTAAAGAACAGCTTCTATGGCTCTTGACAATTTATTTCCAAAACTACATATTCATTTAAGATATCACTTTATGGTAAATTCTATTATTGTCCCCAGATTTTGAACATTCTAGCATCCACAATTTTTACCATGACTTCGTAATGAACAAAATGAACTTCTCTCCCTTGACCTTGTTCTTGACCATATGACTTCCTGAAGATGACAGCATGAAAAAGAGAAGACAAAATTCCATTTCCAAAGCTACAAATTTTCAAGGCATGCATTATCCCCTTTTCAGTCTTGTAATCAAGAGACATTATGATCATTGCATTATCAAGGAGAATAAGAGAGAAAGGAAGGTTAGTGTTGTGTAACAAGATCCTCCAAGATGGAAACATTCCAATCCTCAGGGAAGTTCCTTAAGACAAAAGGTAAACAACTCTAGTTAGCTTCAGGAGGTCCCTGAAACTGACCAAATTCACTAAGCTCCTCCCTCATGTTATAAAAATAAAGAATGTTGAAAGTCACTTGTAGACAAACAAAGGTACAAAGGCTATGAGATGAAGCCAGCTTCCTGGAAGAAATAGAAATCAACTGGGCTCCTTGGAAAAGACCTATTCAGGCACCTGGAAAGGACATTCTCCAACCTAGAGACATGCCTACATGATGTGAAGTGTGCTTTAAATTCCTAGCTTTTGTGAACTGTCACCAATGTTGGGGTGGATTCTGATGATCCAGCTGTCTGTGAGTCAGTTCTATTCCTGTAAGTAACCATTCACCCATACTCCTGTAAGTAACCCCAATAAAACTCATTGGTTCATCAAGTGTGATTTAGGTGTTATCTGTACTTTGGTCTTTTGTGAGCTTCCTATCTGGGCTAAACGGACATCTCTCCAAGAAAAGTCTTGTCATACAACTTGCCCAGATCCTCCATGGATCTGCAGTGTTGAGGTGAACTTCCTTTCCTTCTCCAGTCTGGATTGGAATTACATACAATTGTGAAGATCTTCCCTACACCAGGAACCTCTTCCTGTGGATTTTAATAAGACTTGAATGTTGAAATATAATCTTGTTATATACAACTATCGTTGGGCAGGAAGACAAATGTAGACCAGAGTGGCCTTGAACTGACAGAGACTAGCCTACCTCCATGTCCAACAAGACTTAAATGCATCTATATCAACAATATTGGAGATACTTATATCTTGTATCCCCTGCTGCTGTCTTTATTTCTTAAGAACAGGAACATTTTTCCAGCCACGGCTAGCATCACCAGTGGTAATTAAGAGAACATGGGATGGATTAAAAAGATATAACTTTAAGGAGACTTTTGAAAGTCAACAGTCATGTCTTCTTGTTAACTATGACACAGAAGAGGATTTAAGCATGTCTTTATTTAAAATGCTGTTCACTTAAAAATTATTTAAAAATCAAAGTCTTGATGAAGCTCCAGGGGTACTAATATGGAGTGTTACAATTTGTAAAAGGAAATGAGTTTTCAAGATGGACTTTATGCTAATCATTATGCTAATCAGTACCATTTAAGGGATGTCTGATTTAAGGAGAGACTATTGCACATACAAAGGTGTTTGAATACATTAGAGTAACAGAAAATCGATACCCTAAAATGTAAAACTAATTATCATGATCATTCTTATCAAAAAGCATAAGTATTCAATAATTTATTTACATAACATTCCTTATTAAGAAAGTTACGCTCTGGGCTGGAGCAGACACAGAGTCGGTCTGCTCCTGTCCTGTGGAGAAACTGAATCCTGAGTCATCCAGGAGCCACTGCACTCAGAGCAGCTGGTAAGAACTCCATCTCACTCCCTAAACCCCAGAGATAGATCGGGGAGCCAGGGACATCCAGGGCACAGCAGCTACCCAAACCCCGCCCCTCTGGAATTCCACTTCCCTTCTGCCCCTGCCTGGTCCTCTGGGCTGGAGCAGACACAGAGTTGGTCTGCTCCTGTCCTGTTGAGAAACTGAATCCTGAGTCATCCAGGAGCCACTGCACTCAGAGCAGCTGGTAAGATCTCCATCTCACTCCCTAAACCCCAGAGATAGATCAGGGAGCCAGGGACATCCAGGGCACAGCAGCTACCCAAACCCCGCCCCTCCGGAATTCCATTTCCCTTCTGCCCCTGCCTGGTCCTCTGGGCTGGAGCAGACACAGAGTCGGTCTGCTCCCGTCCTGTTGAGAAACTGAACCCTGAGTCATCCAGGAGCCACTGCACTCAGAGCAGCTGGTAAGAACTCCATCTCACTCCCTAAACCCCAGAGATAGATCGGGGAGCCAGGGACATCCAGGGCACAGCAGCTACCCAAACCCCGCCCCTCCGGAATTCCACTTCCCTTCTGCCCCTGCCTGGTCCTCTGGGCTGGAGCAGACACAGAGTTGGTCTGCTCCTGTCCTGTGGAGAAACTGAATCCTGAGTCATCCAGGAGCCACTGCACTCAGAGCAGCTAACACAGAGTCGGTCTGCTCCTGTCCTGTTGAGAAACTGAATCCTGAGTCATCCAGGAGCCACTGCACTCAGAGCAGCTGGAGCCACTGCACTCAGAGCAGCTGAAACTGAACCCTGAGTCATCGAGGACCCACTGCACTCAGAGCAGAAGGATTTCCAGATCCAAGAGGTGGCCTGAGTCCCAGGAGTTATTCCACCCAGGAGATTAGGAGCATAAGACCACAGAGACCTCTGGACTCTGAGGAGCTCTGCAATAAGCAAGATAACTGGAAATACAGACTCCAGTTTTACACAGTGAGGGCAGGTACCACTAGAGTTAACCAGATGGCGAAAGGCAAGCGCAAGAACATAAGCAACAGAAACCAAAGTTTGTTGGCATCATCAGTGCCCAATTCTCCCAATATAGCAAGCCCTGAACACCCCTTCACACCTGAAAAGCAGGATTCAGAATTAAAATCACTTCTCATGATGATGATAGAGGATTATAAGAAGGAATTAAGTAACTCCCTTAAAGAAATACAGGAGAGTACAAGTAAACAGATAGAAGCCCTTAAAGAGGAATCACAGAAATCCCTTAAAGAAATGGAGGAAAACACAAAGAAGGAATTAAACAAAAACATTCAGGATCTGAAACTAGAAATAGAAACAATAAGGAAAGTTCAAAGGGAGACAACCATGGAGATAGAAAACCTAAGAAAGAGATCAGGAGTCACAGACGCAAGCATCACCAACCGAATACAAGAGATAGAAGAGAGAATCTCAAATGCAGAAGATACGGTGGAAAATATTGACACAGTTGTCAAAGAAAATGCAAAATGCAAAAAACTCCTAACTCAAAACATCCAGGAAATCCAGGACACAATGAGAAGACCAAACCTAAGGATAATAGGTATAGATGAGAATGAAGATTCCCAACTTAAAGGGCCAGTAAATATCTTCAACAAAATTATTGAGGAAAACTTCCCTAACCTAAAGAACAAGATGCCCATAAACATACAAGAAGCCTACAGAACACCAAATAGACTAGACCAGAAAAGAAATACCTCCCGTCACATAATAATCAAAACATCAGATGCACAAAACAGAAAAAATACTAAAAGCAGTAAGGGAAAAAGGTCAAGTAACATATAAAGGCAGACCTATAAGAATT